AAACTTCATATGTTCAAGTAATCAATTAATTGTTTCACCTTCCTCTCTAACTATTTTCCATGATTTCACTTTTTTCTTTCTTTTTCCTTTTTATCAAAATAAACTTTATTCCGTCCAACAAGGACTAGAAATCCTAAAGCCCCATTTTAGATGTCCCTTATTTTCGACACAACATAAAAACTCCGTATAATTGCGCCTGCGTGGATGGTATGCAAGTTTGGCATGCTACTAATATTGTTCAAGATTAGAACCAAGTTTGTTAAGAAAACAAATATAAAAGCCTTGTTTTGGTCTCATTAATATTGTTATGGGATTATATACTATGAGATTATTTATTTTTAGTACGAGTAGGTCGAAATCATTTTTAGCTAATGGACATGAAATCTAATATATGAAAGTGTGTCAAACTACATTCGAAAATTTTTATTTTAGATTTTGTGCCCAAACAATAATAAATACTCAACCACCAATTTCAAATATAACGGTTAATGATGCTTATGAACCCCTTGCTTCAAAAGTATACATTTCTTATTGTTCCACTTGCCATTGTCCTTTGAAGAATGCCTATTTTTAGTATTTGCATTGCCAGTGAAGGCAGGTAAAGATAAGTCCTAGGCATCCAATTGGGGCTTGAATAAATCCAATGGCTAAACTTCTCTCTCCAATGGATATAATCCATTAAGATACTTGGGAAGTCCCAAATTCTAATTAGAAACACACATTTTATAGAAAATGAAGTATAATTTTTGGAAAAGTATATAATGAAATCATTTATCTATAGTACAAGGTGGTCACAATTAATCTTGACCATTAGATGTGAAATTAGATGGTTGGTTTTTTCCATTGACCAAGCTCAAACTTCAAAAGTAATTTTCTTAAACTTTGTGACACACTGAAGCTATCAAATTTCACATCTGACGTCCGATAATTGTAAGTAATTGTGAACCCCTTATACCAAAGATAAATGGTTTCATAATATACAATCCCTTTATCACTCCCACTTATCCCTATAGGTTTTATTTCCAATAACTAATTCCATAAGAGGTCCATATGCCCAGTTTTAAATGAGAGTTTAATACATGTGCAATTAATTATGTCCCCTCTTATCCTTGTGAAGTGGATGCCTTGGTCAGTTACCAATATCTTTCAGTGATATCCCAACATGAAAGCAAGGCATTTCCTAATAAAAATCCTCTATTTCACGTGACACTGCATTAAAGTTTCCAAGAAAAACCAATAGTAATAGGCCAGTTGACATTCAAGTCCCTTTGAAATATGACTTAGCAAAGTATAAAGAAATATGGTGGGCAATAGCCCATTGAACCATGAGCAAGCAAACTAGATGAAACAAAAGAGATATCACATCCGAATCAATCACACAAATATTTAGAAAAAATAATTTTTTTTGAAATCCTCAATAAATTGCATGTATTTTGCTAAACAATAGATAAAGAAGAAAAAGGTTGGTCAACAATAGATAAAGAAGAAAAAGCCTTGCTCAACTCTAGTTGAGAATTATTGAGATTGGGGTTGGGGTCGTGGCAGTAGTGTCACCTGAGGCATCGTTAAAAGTCACACCCTCCATTATTACTAATACTTTTAAAGAATTACTATTATAGGTAAAAAAAAGGCATCAAATTGATCAGTTCGACATCGGCAATTATAACACATTATCTGAGCTGTTAATTTTTTAGTGCCCGCAGTAATGTGGGTATATATTAACATCTTAAAAAACAAAAAATTAATGCCCATAGATTCGCTTGTTCTATATTGTATTTAGAGCTTCCAATTTCATAATATGGGTAAATATAGATTCCTTGGCGAGTTTCAGCATTTTTTAGGTTTTGAGGTGCGGCTTTACTTTCTGTCTTAAAACCGAGGCCTTAAAATCACACTCATTTTCAGGTTTTGAGGTACGGCTTTATTTTTTGTTTTAAAACCTAGGCCTTAAAACCACACTCATTGAAAAAATCCCAGTTCTTAAAATAAGTTGCCTTACCTAGGAGTTTTATGTTCATGAGATTGTAAATAGAAAGTATGCATCACCGTCTAATCCAGGGATGGATGATGATGGGAAGGCTAGAGCCATCGAAAATTCACGTGATTCAAGTAACAGGACCACCGCCTATCTCATCACCGTCCATCCTTCACATTGGAAGTTGAATGACAGTCATGATCATAAGATATCAATAACCATGGGATCATCATATGCTTTAATTAATTGATTTCCTGTATTTTTTTCACTAATATCTCTCTCCCTATCTAAAATATCACGCTTTCCCTTTACTCCCTAATTTCTCTCTCCCTCTCTAAATTGCCTACTCCATTCCTATCAATAATCTCTCTCTCTCAAAAAATACTTCCTTCCACGTCTAAACATAATAGGGTCAAAGTTTATTACAAAAGTCTTTTTAAAAAATTACAAAAAAAACTTAACACTGTGCTTTCCATGCAATTTACCCCCAACTTTGTTTTTTTTCTCAACATACATTTGTTATGTAAATACCTCAAACAAAATAAAAAATACCTAAAGTAACCTCTTTTACTTTTTACCTTACCCCTCTGTCCCACCAAAATAAACTAAGCTCTTTTACTATTACCTTACCCCTATGGTCCACCAAAATAGGGGCTCCAATACCGTGTAAGTGTGTTTAGCGATTAGGGCTCCGTCATTATATAAAGTGAGGTTCAGTAGTAGCACTCCAACACTGTGTAAATTGCGGTCCGACAGTAGGGCTCTGGCACTATTTATAAGTGCGGTCCGGCAGTAGATATTATTGGATTCCAGGGCTCCGACACTATGTAAAGGCAGTCCGAAAGTACTCAGTTTCGGTTCGGTAGTTGTCTTAAGGCGGTCCGACACTTATGCGCTCCGAGAATATGTTGTTGTGCTCCTGCTATGTGTTACTTGGTCCAAAGGTCAACCTCAAATCTGACCAAAATGACTTTTATGTATGGAAAAGGCATTTTCATCTAAAAAATTAACTTTTTTCCTTGAGATTATTTGCATAGAAACATTGTTTTGGAAAAAAAATGATAGAAAAAATTAGGTTGGGAGTAAGTTACATAAAAAAAACGTCGTCTTGAGATTTTTTTTTTTTAACTTTTATATGTTTTTTCACTAATAAAAAATATATTTTTAAAGTGGATTTTACCGGGTGTTGCACGTGTATATATGAGTCGATTGACTCATAGACACCACTAAGGACACGGTTTTTATTAGTCCTAAAACTTATAGGTAGACATTAATCCCCCTCTTCATACCTCCTTTTTAGATAGATTTTTTACCTAACATTTTGGGTATATATAATGGATAACATGAATAGGTAAAAAAATAAATTTTAAAAACTAATAATGATGATTTTTTGAAGGAAAAATATAAACAGTTAATTTCACTTTTTATTTATTTATTTTTATTTAGAGATAACAACTCCAAAGAGGTTGTGGGGCACCTTAGGTATATGTAATCTATGACATGGAGAACATGAATATGGAAAATATATAATTTTAAAAACTAAAAAAAATGTCTATTAAATTTTTAAAAAGGGAAAAGTACAAAAAAACCTCAACGACTACACTTACTATGTAACTTACTCCCAACCTAGTTTTTTCTCTCACTCTTTCCCCGAAACAAACTTTCTATGCAAATACCCAACAAAACAAAGTTCAGTTTTTTTAGACGAAGATGTTCTTCCTGTATACAAAAATCAATTTGACCCGATTTTTTTTTATGACTTTTGAACCCCAGTAGCACATTGTTAGAGCACACAATCACATTGCCGGACCCATTATTCCAAAAACTTAAGTGCCAGATTGTCCTAAGCTAACTACCGGACCGAAATTAAGAATTATCGGGCTACCCTTTACATAGTGCCGAATCCTTGGAATCTAGTAACATCTACTGCCGGACTGCGCTTCGCAACTGCCACATCGATGTAACTTCAGATTTTTTACTGCCAGACCGCACTTGCACATTATCGAAGCCCAGTAACTACAAAAGTATCTAATGTTGGATTGCCCTTTGCAACTGCCGCAGCCCTGTGATTCGAGAAGTTTTACTGCTGAACCGCACTTACAGTGACTTCAGAGAGACCCCAGAAGTTTTACTGTCGAACCGCACTTATACAGTGACTTCAGAGAGTTCTATCGCCGGACCTCATTTAGATAGTGACGGAGCCCTATTTTGGAGGGATAAAGATATGACCCTCTATACCCTCAAAGGTCTTGGTCTAGAGTTTCAGTCTTTTGAGACCTCCTTGATGACCAAACCAATATTTTCGTGTTTTTCGGAGCTTCGATCCTCTCTTTTCACATTTGAAGCTCGGTTTGTATCTTCATCGGTTATTGAAAGTAATCATCAAGCCTTAGTGAACACATTATTAGGGCAAAGAGGTGGATTTATTCAAAGACATGGTCGTTATGGAAGTAAATGAGGTAGAGGTCACAATCCAAGTCAACAAAGCATTTATTTTGGTGGGATAAAAGAGAGAGATATAGGTAAAGTAAAAATAAAGGAGAGTAGTTTAGGCATTTTTTTATTTCTTATTTGGTTAGGAGGTATTTACATAGAAAATTTGTTTTGGAGAAAAAAATGAGAAAAGAAAATAAGTTGGCTGAGTTGGGGTAGTTTTGATTTCTCTTTGTAATTTTTTCTTTAAAAAATTAAAGAGGTTAAATATAGACTGTCCAGAAATATCCCTGAAAGAATCACATTTTAAATGCTAGAAATATTTATTTATTTTTTTCATATTGATGATGATCTTTTCCTATATTAGAATGATAAAAAATCTTAGGTTTAAGAGGGAGCCGCATATGTACAATATGCGTTCGCTGACTCATGAAAACCCCATCCAATTCTAAACCGTTAATCTCTTAGATAAATGCGGGACCTCCTTTTTTAAGGTAGATGTGGGACGCCGCAGGGGACGCTAATGTAGTTGTACGTTCCCCGACACACAAAATCACTTTACCGACGATAAATAGGGCTCCGTGATGGCGAACCAGATTAGATTTTGGTGCCCTGGTGGGAGAAGAGAGGAGAGAGAGGGAGAGATTGCAAGGGAGATTTTAAGGATCAATAATTAAGGAGAATTAGGGTTTCTCTCGCTGTAGTTGCCGGGAAGCGAATATGTCGAAGGACGAGAAGAAAGTGACCTTGAAAAGCTCAGATGGAGAGGTTTTTGAGGTCGAAGAGAGCGTTGCAGTAGAATCTCAGACCATTAAGCATATGATTGAAGATGATTGTGCAGGTAATGGCATCCCTCTCCCGAATGTTTCGAGCAAGATCCTTGCTAAGGTTATAGAGTATTGCAAGTACCATGTCGACGCTCAAAAAGTCACAGAGGATAAGACCCAGGAGGAGGAGATCAAGAGCTGGGACGCTGAGTTTGTCAGGGTCGATCAGGCCACCTTGTTTGATCTCATTCTGGTAAAAGAAATAAAAGCGCTCTTCTCTCTCATCTGTTTCCTCTTTTTTTTAGTTATTTAATATTTTTTTTGAGAAATAGTTATTTGATAATTTATCTTTGATTTCTTGGAATTATGTTTTGTTTTGGTGGATCTTGTGATCTGATGGTCGGTTTCTTGCTATGGTTGTTACTTGCCCTTTCTTGAACATGGATTTTGTTGGTGTTTGTTTTCTTGATCAGGTTTCTCTTTTTGTTTAATTTTTTTGAATCTGTTAACTTGAAGGTTATCTCTTTGTTCGTGTTATGATTTTCTGTTGCTGAATATGGTGAAAGAAGGTGAAGTATTTTTTGTTTGCTGTATTATTTTGAAGCCGTGTGTTAGGGTTTCAGTATTTTGATGCATTATGATTTTTTTTATGCTGATTATGGAGAAAGAAAGAAAACGTTTGTGGTTTGCTGTACTATTTTGAAGGTTATTCGGCTAGGATTTCAGTCTTTTAATGCAGAACATTAGGGAAGGGCTCTCTGTTTCGTTTAGAACCTTTCTAAAATTGGGCTGGGTTTTTATTGATTGATGATGTTTCTTTATCTTGGTCTTTTCCATTATTGTCGATCTGGTTCTCTTTTTGGTGTTGATTGATTTATAATGTTGAATATGGAGAGAAGAGTAAATTATTCTGGGCTTGCTGTACTTTTTTAAAGGTTTGAGTCTTTTGGTGCAGTATAATTTCGTTATGTTGAACATGGAGAAAGAAAGTAAAGGATTGTGGTTAGCTGTACTATTTTGAAGGTTATTGGGTTAGGGTTTCAGTCTTTGGATGCATAGTTTCTCAAGAAGGGCTCTTTGTTTATTTTTTTGAAAGATGCCCTGATACATTATTATGATACAAATAAAAAGTCGGGTTTTTTATATTTTTATATTTTCTTGAATTTTAGATTTGGCATTATTCATATTTTTTGTTTATTTAGGGTTATTTTATATGTTTTTATATGTTTTTGTTGTCGAGATTTGAGGGGTATACAAGATATTTATTTTAGAATTTTAGGAGATATTTTTTGGATGGAGAGAAATGTGAAGGATTATCTTAAATGATACTTTCTAATTTTTAGAAAGTCATTCTTTTAGTTAGAAAGTCAAACTTTTGGTAAAGATGTAGTTAGAAAGGTTATCCTTTTTAGGAAAGAAGTCAGTTTTTAGAAAGACGGAGATAAATGTGTTTTTATTTATTTATTTTATTATTTCAGTGTATTTAAAGGGAAGAGTCCCTCATTGTGATGAACAAGAGAGATTGGAATTGAGTAAAGTTGATCAAAAGCACTTTTTGGGGTGGATTCCCCTCTTGACCTTAAGAGAGGGTATATTCTTTAAAAATTTTATTTTCTGATTTATTATTATTTCTCCCTGCATGACATTAGATATGTGGTATCTACAAAAGATCTTAGGAGAAGTGAACACAGGCATCCCATATGTTGGGTGGTCTTACAAAAAGTAAAACTTAGTAGCAGACGTTAAGAGAGGGTATATTGTGTCAAATTTTTATTTTATTTTTATTTTCTGATTTATTATTATTTCTCCCTTCATCACATTAGATATGCGGCATCTACAAAAGATCTTACGAGAAGTGAGCATTGGGTGCTCTAAAAGTAAAACTTAGTAGCAAAAAGGAAAGAAGAGTATTCGTACAAAAAATACAACATTCAAGTGGTTAAGGCCCTCCCATAAGATGGGTCCTCAGAATGATCATGAGAATAAAGTCCGTAAAGAATCAAAAAATAGAACTGTCGAATGAAAAAGGGGATAAGAAGAAAAAAGGCCTTCAAAAAAGTGCAGGTAGGAGTGAGAAGTTGGCATGCAGCTAAGAAAATAGAAGCTGACAACTAAAAGAGTAAATTGCAGTTACGTAACTCAAAAGGATGGGTGAAAAGATTCATAACAAAGTTTAATATTGTACTCTGAAACTCCAAGAAACAAACTGAGAGAAGAACATTAGAGGGGAGGGTTGAGGTAGTGGTAAAGACTTGGTTAGTGAGAAAATAAAGAAAAGAGAGGGAGAGAGTGTGAGCTAAGAGTAAAGGAAGGAGGGAGGTGGGAGATACAGCAATTCAGTTACAGAGAAGATGAAGAGAAGTTCCAGAAGTACTAAAGGAGGGAGAAATTAAGTAGAACTGAAACAAAGAGAGGGAAGCAGAGAAATAGTTTTAGGAGCTTGGGAGATATTGGTGAAAAACCACTAAAGGGACAAGGGGGGAGAGTAGACCTCCCCCAAAATCGCATGTAAGAACCTAACTTTTGTGTCTTCGATTCCTGTTGTTACCCAATTTTCTTTCTTCCCTTTTTTTCCCCATTTTTTTCCTTTTTTCTCTTTTTGTTTCTCCTTTTTTTGTTTGGAGTGGTGAGGGCGAGAGGAGAGCTAAAGAGCAAAGGATATAAATGGTAGGAGAGAGAGAATAGGAAAGGAAGTGTGTGTGTGGGTGTGAGAGAGAGATAGAAAGGGTAGGAGAGAGAGAATAGGAAGGGAAGTGTGTGTGTGTGTGTGAGAGAGAGTGAGAGAGAGATATGTCGTGGGCTGATGATAGTTCCTGCTAATCCTTGTGTGCCTTCTTTAGCCAGTCTATATGCAGTAGAATTGGCTTCTTTGAGGATATGCTTGAAGGCTACTGGGATACTCTGAGATACCCTCCAAGGGGGATGAACGTCATTGGATGCCCAGGCAATGACATTGCTTGAAGCAGCCTCAACCAAGAGATCACAGTGTTGGGATGCTTGATGAATGGTTCATTTCATGTCTTCAGTAGAGCCACTGTTGAGTCAGTGATGCCAATGGAGTTTGAAAAGGAGAGGAAAACTCCTTCTAAATTTGCTGCGGTGCCACCATAACCCCGATGGACCCTGGATCCCATGGAGGATCCATTAATATGAAGTTTGAGGAAGCCCGGGGGAGAAGAAACCCACACTGCTCTAGGTCTAGGTGAGATATTGGCAAAAGACAGCAAATTCTCCCAATTATCAAGGAAGTGGGAGATGGAAATGGTAATTTTCTTCCCTTGAGCAAGAATCCACACAAAAGCTTGGACCTTTTGTGGGACAGGAGCCGACTCTATCCTATTTAAGAGGGGAGGGGGGTCTGCAGAGGAGGGGCTGAGGATAGAATAGGAGGAGGAAACAGTGGAATTACTGAGTGGGAAGGAGACCAAATGAGAGCATCATAGCTCGTGAGGGGAAATAAGATTTGAGACAATGATTGAAGGAGGGAGTTGAGATTAGAGGCGTTGAAGTCAGAAAGCCTCTGTCTAAAGATGGGGGTTCAAACGGTTGAAAGATTGTCTCTCCGCATACTCATCAACAGTAGCTTCTTGATTAGAGGCAATTGTGTCAAGTTAGGGATAAGAGTTTTCCAATATCTGATTCGCTTCCCATTCAACCTTAAATCTGATGTTATTCCTAAAGGCAGTCTTGCTCCAAGCATTACTGTTCCAAGCACCAGAGCCTCTGTGTCTAGGGCTATTAGGAAACCAGTCATTGTCTTCCATACCATTCTTGGCTTAAATAACCTCCTTCCAACAGTTGTCATCAGAACTTGTGAATTTCCACCACCATTTACCCAACAAGGCTAAATTATTCTCTTTAATCCTCCTAATCCCTAAACCTCCAAGCCTCTTAGACCTGCAAACTGTTTCCCAAGCAACAAGGTGAAATTTATGACCCTCATTGGCCTGGCCCAAACGAAATTTCTCATGAGCTTTCCAGTTGTAGGGCCACAGATGAGGGAATTTGGAAGAGGGACATCTGGTAGATAGGAATATTAGCCAAAGTGGCCTTGATGAGAGTTATTCTACCTCGGAGAGAATCCTTCCAATCGACTAGCTTCTTGTGACACTTCTTCGGAATATTGTCCGGTCCCAAAGGTGTTTCCTAGGTTTGGGGAATGCCAAGGGGAAGTCCAAGATAGATAGCTGGGAAATTATCTATCCCATGACCTAGGTTTCTGGCAAGCACACTGATTTTGGAGTACTCCATCTTTACTCCCAGTATCATATTTTTAGTCATAATGACCTTCATCCCCGTGGAAATGAAAAGGGCCGGGGTTTATCTATGGATCCTTCTTTTGATGCATGGGTGACACTCATTATTTCCTTTTTAAGCTTTTTGATGGGTGTATAAGAATTAGGGTTCAAGTTTCTTACAGGAACATTATGTGTTTCTTACAAGCTTCTTTTGATGGATAAATTTTGATCAGGCTTTCTCTAGAAATATTTGGTGTTAAGGGTATCTTTCTTTTTGTTTTGAGATATTTTACTGGTGTCTTTTGATAAATACCAATCTCATGAATAATCTTGATAAGAAATTTTTTTTCTTAATAATGTGATTGATAAATAATGTTTAGAGAAGAGGCCTTTCTTCATATTTTGTTATGTATATACTGTTTTGAGGTTATTCCTTTTGGAAAATTAATGGTTATGTGTTTACGTATTTGTTTCAATACTAATGGTTATTTGTTTACATATTTGTTATAATACTACTTCTGATTTCATATGAATTGTTCTTATGAACTCGAAGCACCTTATGCAATTTTGGCTTTCATAATATGATGGAGTTACCTAATATGATATTATGCTATCTATTTTTTGGAGCTTTTTGTGTTTATTCTTTACAATTTACTACTGGTCAAGGCATCTTTTTCAGGAATCAAAGTCGGGCTTATGATATCATTATTCATAAAGACCTCTATTTTCACTGTCTTTTGTGTTTGGTGTCTCAGAGAGGTAGACATTATTTATTCATTGCTTATTCTTTCTCTTCATTGAATTTTCAATCAGATCAAGATCTTTAATTTCAGACTGTGCAATGGATGATGTGGCTTGTTTCGGAATATTTATTGACTTTGTTAGCCTATTTTGCAATCCTTGAATCTGAGTTAGTGAATATTGTGCTGCAATTGATGTATGTTTTGAAATTGTAGTCTCTATTTGATAGAGTAATTTTGAAGAACTTTGGTGGGACTTTGCTGCGTGCTTGTTACGAACTTTGTGCATCCCTTTGGAATGGGTGCCCCATACTTATTTATGTCATGAATAAGACAATGAACATGAGCATTCCTTTTCCTATTCATGATTTGTATTTTGTGAGGCATCTTTGTCCTGTTATCTTGATATTGAATAGGCGATTGTAATTGCAATTCAATGTTCTAATATATTGTGAATTTTACTATTTTATTGATAATTAATGGTTTCTTGTTTTAGTAAATTATGCGGTGATGAATAGTATTGATACCATAAGAAGTTTGTTCTTTCACTAGGGTTGGACCGTTAGTGTTGATCTTTTATGCGTCATGCAAAATTTACAAAAAATGAAATATTTTATGTTTTTTTAATAAAAGTTAGTTAATATTTGTGGTAGATAATGAAAATGAATTTTTTTGAGCTGATCTTTTGTCAATGGAATAGTCTGCCCTTTAAGTATTCATTAAGGAATTCCATGTGGTTTTTGTATTCCCTAAATATTATTTCTTCAAGCACTATTTTCAGATGATAACATGATGAACCTTTTTTGGAGGATTCTAGTTTGCTTAAATGTTTGAAATGCTCAACGTTTGGTGCCTTTTCTTGTTGAATTCATATGCTAGTGATTGAGAAAGTCATGTTTCAATAGTTTGGCCTTCATACTGCGAAAGGGATATATAATCATAAGTTGTCTCAGTATTTGGGTGTTATTTACGTATGGAGGCATTCTCTCATATATTTTTGTTAAGAGATATTTTAGCTTATGGTGCTTTTTATGTTTCTTATCCTTGTTGTAGACTTTGAATGTTCCATCACTAGTTTGAAATTGCTCGTCTTTCATCCTGTGGTTTTTCTTTTTGACTTTCCCTGCAAAAGGTCCATCTAGCTAGAAGCTCTTGTTTTTCTCGTGCCATGTGCTATCCTTTACCTTCAGACTTATCCATCCTCGTATTCGGTTTTCCCATATGTGCAGTTTTTGATATTTTGAAAGTCACTTTTTTGCCATCAATGAAGTCGAGAAGAAATTAATCGGCTCCTTAAGAACCATTAAATTAAATCTTGACATGACACAACCACTCCACTCCACATGACACGACCACACAATAAACTTAGGCTTCTGGTGGAATTTCCATCAAACTCACGCTTTGGTGTCCATGCATAGCTCTAATAAGTACTAATTAAATTTTAGAGCTTCACTGGACACCTTCCACTCCAAATGAGGTCATCCTTCGTGATCATTAGGACCCATTTGAGGATATGATCCTAAGAGATCACAATGCCTGCCTCTTCGATAGAATGATATCCTTTGTACTTGTGCACACGTTTGTTGTTGTATATCTTTTAGTGTTCTACTCTTGGTACCATGTTAAAGTTCTCCACCTGGTAAGGTTTAGGATTGCAAAACTCAAGTGAGGTGTATATAAACTGAAGATGCGCAACGTTTACTAGTTATCTTGAAACTGCTACCTTGAACTTTTCAGTTGAATAATTTGCATTCTGTAATGAGTACTTGCGAGCTAATGGGCTTGAAGTCCATATATCCTCTCCCCCCTCTCGTTTCTAAACCAATATCATATATCCTCTCCCCCCTCTCGCTTCTAAACCAATATCATAGAGGTGGCAGTTAGCCATCTTTTTTTTTCTCCCCTTCTGAACAAAACTCATTGAACATGAACCCCCCTTGGGCTAACACCCTTCAGTTCTCTAAGAAAGCCTCTCTACTGTAAGGCGCTATCTTTTTACTCAATATTATCTGATGTTAGCAATCTGTCTTTTGATTTTCAGTACCAGTTGGTCACATCCTCCCTTGATAGTTTGGCTCTTTCAACTCACACATCCTTTTCAAGCACGTTGGTCATATGTTTTGAAAGCATCATATTGTTGAGCTCCGATATTATTTTAAAGAATTTGATCTACACAATGTTTGGGTCTTTATTATTGCATTGTAAAGGGAAACTTTGCAGTCTTGAGCTACAGTTCTTATAGATTGAAGGTTTCAACATTTTTTTTTCTCTCCATTCACATTCATTGTTTTATAAAAGAACTTCTCTATCTGGCTATGATTGGGTCTCTCTATTAGGCACGTAACACAATTAAGGTTCACTTTTAAGCCAGTCTTGATCAACCAAAGTCTCTCTCTCTCTCTCTCTCTCTCCACATCACTTTTTCTTTTGTTTGCAGGCTGCAAACTATCTGAATATCAAGAACCTTCTCGACCTGACTTGCCAAACTGTCGCCGACATGATCAAGGGCAAGACTCCTGAGGAGATTAGGAAGACCTTCAATATTAAGAACGATTTCACACCAGAGGAAGAGGAAGAGGTCAGGAGGGAGAACCAGTGGGCCTTCGAGTAGAGAAGAAAAGCTTATCTTGTTTGTTTATACATATTTTACATACCGCTGTTGTTCATCTACTGCTGTTTTTGGACAAGGGTACTTTTAATTTGTAGTGACTTTTCAATGTGCTGGTGAATAGAACCATCCTTTTGCTGCAATTTCTATTTGTGGGGACAATACTGTTTAGGTTTTCAGTGCAGAAGAAAGTCCTCTTGATGTTTATAGCTGTAGAGAATGCTCTCTTTATCTAGGCATTTCATGTGTTGTTTGTAGTTGCTCAAAGGGTCTCTCTTGCCCCCCTAAAAGCAGGCCCAAACAGGGTTTGTCATCTCTCCTTTAGAAAGAGGATGCCATGCTATCCTTCTCTCTCATCAGCCCAAAGAGGGATTTGTTCTCCTTTTGAAAGGGGATGCTATCTCTCTCCCCCTCTCTCTTCTCTCTCTCACATCAGCCCAAAGGGGGTTTTGTTCTCCTTTTGAAAGGGAAAATGCTTTTATTATTGGAAGCGGGTGCAAAAGGTTTGCTTTTGAAAGGGAAAATGCTTTTATTATTGGAGGCGTGTTTGTTGTGATTTGACGTGGTATATAAGTGAACATTTGTGTAAATGAATCTCCTTCTGCATTAGGAATTCAATATGAGTACACCATTGTTCCATTTGAACCGAATACGAATTTATATATAGGTGACTTTAACCGAATACTAAATTACATATAGGTGACAACTTTTAGCTGTAGTATTTTAAAATTTTGAATCAATCTCCTTTAGCTATATGGTATTTTGAAATTCAGACTCAACATTGAAGCCCAACTAAGCCTAACTGGTTTGGCGCCTAACTGGTTTGGATTGTAATTAGCTATTTGGTATTTTGAAATTCAGACTCAGCATTGAAGTTGGAACTGGTTTGGATTGTAATTAGCTATGTAGTATTTTGAATTTCAGACTCAGGGGTTATATAGTATTTTGAAATTCAGACTTAGCATTGAAGCCTAACTGGTTTGGATTGTCGATTACAATCGGGCTGCCCCAAAATGCCAACAAAATCCACCTCTTTATGAAGTAGAATCGTTTCAATTTGCCTGAACTTGTTTATGTTTGGGAAGGGGATTGTTTTTGTTTAAACTTCGAAGTTTAATGTTTTGGGGGTTTGAGAAAACCGTTTGATTCAAATTGGTTGAATAAAAGGTTTGCGCAAGATTAAGTGAGATTTTTGAATTAATCGTTTTGATTGATTGAGAGCTTCACTTTCACAATTGAATTACTGGTATTTATTGAGTATTTAATTATTTTATATACGACATAGAGAAATAAAGGGCGGTGAAAATGGCAGATGGGTTTGATCTCGAAATATTTTGAAAGGATTTTTTAGAACAATGTTATTATATCAATATTCAATAAATTTGAGTGAAGATAATCAAAATTTAAGGTTCGAATTTTTATGAGATCAAGGAGTTAGGAACTCTCTGTTAATGATATTCATGTCTAATCCGAGAAAGACAAGTTGGGATAATTTTTCATGCTGAATTTTGAGGATAAATATCAATAATGGCAGATCAGATCATAAAAATCCTGGAAAATCTGTCAAATGAGTTTTTCATATTTCAGATATTTTTGGTTTTGAGAATGGGGTTGGGAAGCACTACTTGTACCTCAGGTTTAGGCTTCCATTCTCCGCCTTAAAAAACCACCAATGATTTAGAAAACGGGTAAGGGCTCCTCATCCCCCATTTTTTTCGGTTTTGACACAAAAAATGAACCACTAAGGTTTTGACACAAAAAATGAACCACTAATGATTTAGAAAACGGGTAAGAGCTCCTCATCCCCATTTTTTCGGTTTTGACACAAAAAGTTTGGTTGGTATTGTAGAATTTGGGGAAAGAAGATCGATAAAAAGTTTTCTATTTCTGCTTGTAAAGTCAAAATATACTTCATATATAGACCATTTAAAACTCTTTTTACATGGGACATATTGACAATTTATTTTTGAACCAGAGAACATTAGATTCCTTCAGCTCATTCATGGTCCGAAAGACACTGATGTCCGGAGCAGTGTTAAAAAACTCGGACTTAGTGACTGATTCAATCTGGGCAATACTGAGTCGATTTGTTGAGTCAAAATGTCAAATACTACTAAGAAAATTTGAGTTTTACAAATTTTCATATGAACCTAAACAAAAGAAATGTATAAAGACCTAGATGCATCCCAAGTTCTCTAATCATAGAAAGCGCCTATCAGAACAAGTTGACTCAAAAGATTGCCATATTATTCACTATTTAGAATCAGTGTTTGTCAAAGTCAAAATCTTCAAATCAATAGATTATACAGAGAAATTCAACACATCTTAGATCCTCATTCACAAAACTCACCTACTAAAATAGTTGGCTGGATAAGTATTTCCATCTATAGAGGTTTTTATTCGCTGGTTTAAATCATGGTATAGAAGCTATGATACTGGAAGAGACCAGTGCTTAAAAACTCGGCAATTTGGATCGAATTTGGTGGATCGACAATGAAGTCCGATAACCCTTGAAATCTCTTGATTTTAATTCATCATTAATTTTAGCCGATTTTTCACGAGTTTGGCCAATGTGGACTGCCAATCCAGATTAACACAGTGGGTAAGTGATCCAAAAATCGATTCCAGGTTTTATAACACTGGAAAAGACAATATATTTTTCAGAATAGCTTATGCTTGAATTGAAAGTGTGAGATCAAGATAAACACCAACTCCCTTTATAGATAGAAGGATACAGATCAATATGAGTAATTCTCATGGTCTAAATGTTAATAAGTAACAGTTTGGAACACTTGACGTTTTTTTATCCGTTAAATGTGTTGTGACACAGATAAAATAGCACGAATAGCGTACTCCAGCAGGAACACAAAACAATGTTAAAGGTCGCGACCATCAAAGCAGGTAGAACCTCCAGCTTATAAAAGATGTCACTCTATTCTCTCAATGATTATTTATTGAGATTCAAGGAAAACAACCTCAAGAAACCTTGAGCCAAAGAAAAAAGCAGAACTTGAAATCCTTACCCAAGTAGTCAAACCATCACAATAATAAAAGCCAAATGACATTTTCTAGTTATACATCAATTACACAGAAAAGGTCTTTAATTTACACACAATAATAAAAAGCGAAATAAGTTATTTTGATAAATAAAGAAAAAACTATGTACACAGAAAAGGAAGAAGTTCGAGAAACCAGGGAGGATGGGACAAAGAAGATTTTTGAGATTCTTACCTTATCAAAAGATAAGAAAATAATGCACAAATACTAGAAAACTAAAAGCAAATATATTCTTTTGATAAAGAGAAGTAAAGAAGTGCAAAAATCCCTGCACAAAAAAGTTAAAAAGTTTTTTTTTTCTTCGAAAACTGTTTAAGAAAAAGCATACACAAACAGAAATATAAAAAGAAACACCCCAAACCCCAAAAAAGAACAGAAAAAAAGGGAAGGGAATATTAAAGAGACAGGTCAAAACACAGCACAAAATCTGAACCCATCACACCGAGCTTGAGACCTCTCACTCTGAGCTTTCTGGCAACGAGCCCAGCCACGCAGGCGGCAACATCCCCGTTTGTTCCTGAACAGTGGCTAACAACGGTGGCAGCATCTTATAAAGTCCTGCTACCTGACCCATTGCACCTGCACCCGACCCCAAGCCCGAGCCCACCTCCGAGCCATTAGTCCACATGCTAATCTTCGGGCTCAGTCCTTGTATGGCCCCTGCATTAATCCTGGCCATTTCTTGGTAAACCCCTGAGTTCACCATCATGTAATCTCTTAGTGCTCGATAATCACCGCTTAGTGCCTCCAACAGGCATTTTACATGGTATGCTTGGGCGTTTGCCAGTGCCTTGAGCCCTTCTGCCTCCTTTTGTTTCGTGATAAGTTCTGCCTGCGCCTCTTGCTGTCGGGTGTACAGGGCGGCATCAGCTGCCGCCTTGCGCCCCTCGGCCTCCTTCTCTCTCTCATAGAGCACTGCATCGATCGTTCGTTGTCGCTCGTAGAATGCAGCATTAGCCTCCTGAACCTGTTAGCTTCAAAATGGCCAACACTGTAAGATACTAACCAGAAACATAGCTCAAGGGAAAAAACAGAAAAAAAAGAAAAAAAGAAAAAGAAAAAAGGCTATGATAACAACTATTTAATGTAACAATAATCTGTTTGTTAATAATTTGCTTATCGAGATTTATTTATATTATTTCTATTGTCTTTTTGCTGAAAATAATGGTTGTTATAACGATTTGGGGAAAAAATAGTCATTTTCTTTATTTTGAAATAATTGCGCGCTTTTTTTTTTGTTGCTTCTACTTTTCTCTTTTTTGGGAAATCAACAAAAGAAAACTCTTCTTATCTTTTATATTTAAAATATTTCATATTTTACACTCAATTCTCATTTTTTTGAAAGCATGAATTTTTATTTTAATATTTTTGTATAGTGGATTAAGATCATATTTGAGGCATGTATACTTTTTAGCAGTCCACACCTGTAAAAAGTTAAAAAAAAAAGGAATTTTTTTAAAAAATGATTAAAATACCCCATAATCTTTTAGATTATTTTTGTCAATTTATTTCTTATATGTTTTGTAAGTATGTGATGTTGAGAAGTATGGATGCTCAAATTTTAAGATTATTTTGATGCATTAAAAAGAATAAAATTAAAATATAATATACGCTCCCCAACTGTTGGACTTGAACTTAAAATATAAAAATGAAAAAGTCCTATATTTTCAAATTTCAAAACAAAATAGATTTTCTTTTTGTAAATTTCATTTCCCCTAAGAGTGATTACACATTTTAATCATTACCCTAGCAGCTAAGTAGCCTTGAAGGCCATCATCATCACACAATCATTGAATTAGACGGGCGACAAAGAGAAAAAATCGCTTAGGTTATGGCCGAGTTCTCTCTCCGTCATCATGCAACCCATAGATTGAATAGTGATAGTCCTAAGGATCACGTATTCCCCATGGGATGGGTTGAATGGTGGTGACCCCAATGATCACATATCCACCATGGTCATAAGGATCACAATATGCTTCCTCTCTGCAAATCACTAAAAAAACACACTCCACCTTTGTTTCGTACTCCACAGCGGCTCGGCTAAGCATGTTGGCCTTCATCTTCTCCGTCTGTGTCATCGCATTCCTCTTCTCGAGCTCGCGCTGTAGCTCCGCCTCTCGAATCGCTACCGCCTTTGCCGCCTCCACCTCTGCTATCTGTGCCTGTCGAGCCCATTCTGCCTTTTTTGAGGCTAATGTTGAATTGGCCGCAGCTACCTCGGCTTCGCGCTCATTCTCGAAAATTTTCACCTCGGTTTTCACCCTGATCTCCTCTTTTTTGCCCTCTCCTTGGCGCTGGGTTGCGATGATTTTGGTTTCAGCATCGATTTTAGCAGCATTTTGGAGCGTTTGGCCGTCACGCAGTTTGGAACCGATCTCACCCTTCATTTTCGCCTCTGCTACATCGACTCTTGCCTGGTTCGCGGCCTCCATTTGGGTTTTCTGGCCGAGGTAAGAGAAGTATTCATGGCCTCGAACATCAACGAGTTGCTTTACATTCGCGTTGTATATCAGAAGGCCGAATTGGTTCAGCTCCAGTTGCACCTGTTCGGTGGAGAATAAAACCATAAGATTGACAGTTCACTTGGTGCTCTTTATGATTGGAAGTTTTTGAGAAAAAATTGACCGATTTTTTTGGTAATAACCAGAAAATAGAGAGCCAAATTGGTGTTCTCTGTGACCAGCAAATTGAATTTCTTGCAAATTGGATGATATTTTTTAAAAAATGAAAAATCGTGTTGGTGTTATTAAGAAAAATAAATGGACTTTTGGGAAATTATACCCAAAAAAATTCTCTAGAAAATTAAATGAATTTTTCAAAATCAAAGTAGACAATACAAAAATTGAATGAAGTTTCTTCATTAAATTGACTATCCATGCAGCATTAAGAAACTTGCCTCGGGACAGGTACTCCGCCCTGGCTTAAGGCCAATTGCTCGCCCAAGTATTGTTCAAAGCCAAAAGCCTAAGAAATTTTGTTTTTTAAAAAAGAAAAATAAAAAAAAGGTAGTAAAAGTTAAATAAACCAAAGGCAACTTTAAAGACTCCAAATAAGCTTAAAAAGTATAGAAAGGTAGATGAAGAAATGATTTATAGCTAGGGACATTTTAAAAATAAAAAATAAAATTTAAAAATACGGATTATGCAAAAAAAATACCAATTTTTGCCAAGAAATCCAAGTTATACATGAAACATTCTTACAAAAGCCCCATATTTAGAGTTTTTCTTTGGAATTTCTTAAAAAAATTTTATATATCCAAAGTTGTACATACCACTCGGGGTAATTCAAATGGGCGAGGCTGAATTAAATTAGAAAGTAAAAAACCAAATTAGGGTTTTTCATGACCAAAACATGGACCTTTTCAGAAGCTAAACTATAAAAATGAAAACCAAGTTGGTGCTCTATGGGCCAGAAAATAGACCATATTTATAAAATACACTAAAACTATGTTGGTTTTCAGTGTTTTTTGGACAGAAATTCACTCTTTGAACAGTTAAAGTAGTGAATAAAACCAACTTAGTATTATTTAGGACCACAAAACTGACTTGCCCAATAATTAAACCCAGTGGTTTAAAAATCGTCGAGTCGGCACATAATAGGTCGATTCGAACCGGGAATCGGTCATGTCGTGTCGATTCTTTTGTAAAACGGGGAACCGCCCGATTCTAGAGAAAAACCAGCGATTTTGTATAGTGAATCACTGGATGACGCCATGACTCGCCCGATTCTGTGCACGTGCATGACGTCATGAGTCACAAGGGACATTTTTATAAATTTTTTGTAAATTTTCGAGTTACAATGGGTGCACAAAGGGCATTTTTGTAAATTTTCGAGTTACAATAGGCACCCATTAGTAAAAACATGTGCTCCATCACAAACTCACACTGCTACGTGTGTTTCGTACGCGACTAGCTTTGGTAGCAGAATACAATTTATCCTTATCAAATTTGTTTTGTGGGTTCAGTGTGAGCCAATTGCACCAAGGTAATAACTCAGAAAGAAATAGGATATAATTATTGAGTGACCTCTTTATATCACAACTTAATATTTAACGTGGTGGTTAGAGCATTGCTTTGTGCGCTGGGTGTCATCATTCTTTCACAAACAAATTAATTTTTTCTTGTTTACAAAAAAAGTTTTTTTACAAAAAAATAATTTTTTTATAAAAAAAAAATATGTTTTTTGTTAAAAAAAATATAAGGTTCTTGTCAAAAAAAAAAAAGGTAATACAACAAAAAAAAAATTTCTTGTCAAAAAATAAAAGCTTATTGTAAAAAAAACTATAAGGTTCTTGTAAAAAAAAAAAAAGGTAATACAACAAATTTTCTTTTTCTTGTAAAAAAATAAAATTTTATTGTAGAAAAATATAAGGTTCTTGTAAAAAAAAAAAAAAGGTTATACAACAAGTATTCCTTGTAAAAGAAAAAAAGGTTCTTGTTAAAAAAAAAAAAAAAAAAAGTCATACAACATGAATTTCTTGTAAATAAATAAATAAAAAGTTATTGTCATAAGAAATAATTTTGTCCAAAAAAAAAGATCAAAGGTAATACAACAAATATTTATTGTAAAAAAATAAGACGTTGGATTTATTATTATTTGTATAATAAAATAATTTTAAAATGTAAACCAACAAGTTCAATTTCAGTATATAATGTTTTCCACCAATTCGATATTTTGGTGGCCATTTTTTATTGATTAAAATCATTCTTTATTATAGTCCATCTATGATTATATATTTCATCCATGATAATTTTATGATTTTTCTTTTGTGTGATGTAAATTTAATAGTCAAAATAAGTTCATATAGAGAAAAAACATTTCAATATTCACATATTGATGAAAAAATAAAAATTAATAATGTAGTACCCCGATTTCTTATTGGATTCCTAAAAAACAACATTTATAATAAATTTTAATAATTTTTTTAGATTTTTTTAAAGCTTAATCTAACCGATTCAACCTATTCCCGATCCAGATCGCTGATTCACCGATCCAGATGGGTTTTCGAGGTGCCCGATCCGGGCCACCGATCTGTTTTTTAAACCACTGATTAAAACTAAAACGGCAAACCAATAGTTATACTCGGCGAAGTCGACTCTAGGTATCGGTGGAGTTGGTTCGGATTCAGCTCCCAACCGGGCCAAAGTCTCCGTAAAATTTGGGATTATATAAAAAAAATCATAGAAATTATGTTAAAATTTAAAGTGGATGTATAAATATTTATATGTAATTTTAATATTTTTAATGATGATTTGTGAGTTTTTTTTGTCATATGTCCTAAATTTTTTTTTAGATTTTTGAAATCTTTTTCTTCTATATCAATGTTTTATATATGGAAAAATTGATATAAGGTTGCAACCTTAAAACGTAGAATTAAGGTGCACCTAAAAATCATAGTAAAATGCTATCATGAAGTTGGAAAATCCTCTAATTTATCATCTCAACATCGAGATATATGAAATAGGAAAAAAAAAATGTCGAATACCAAAAATAGTGTGTTTTGCAAGATATTATCTCGACCATCCATTTTCAAGATTTTCATATATTTACAGATCTACTTGATTTGAACTATTTTTTTAAGCTAAAATTTTTGATTCAATGATGAAAATGAATTCTCAGGCAATCCTAAAAATATTTTACACAAATTACGTCTTATGATAAAAGTTAATGGTCCACCTTACTTTAACTGTTTAAAGTTGCAGGTTTATATCTTTTATATATTTCTTCTCCCATATTGGACTTTTAACTTTTTAAATTTATTTCGAGTTTTACTTTTGAATTTTACAATTTTTCCAGTATACCACTGAGGCGAGTCCACTCAGACTCACACGAGTTACTCTGCTTGGGCAAGGCTTGAGTCCCCAGCTCCAGCCAATTCATGAAAAAATCAACTCTTTGCCGACACTAAAATATAAAGTAGTAAAAAACAAATTGTTGGGCCTAAAATATTTCTGTATTTCAGAAAAAGTGTTTGTAAAATGTTTTACTGTCTTTTTCTTTTTATAAAATATTTAAAGCAGCTCGAGTTACTCAGGCTTGGCAGGGCTGCAGAGTCAGTCCTGAACCAAACATAAGGGAACTGGCTCGGTCTGGCCTGCTACTGACGTGTTATTGTCTTTCTATACAGAGTCGGACGAGTCTCCTATAGACTCGTCGAATCTTCTGCTACTGGACTCTTCTGGTGACGCTATCGACTCTCAACCCGAGTCCCTGTTTTTTAAACGCTCACAAAAAACCACTCTCAAACAGCGAAGCACCAATTCCTCTCACCTTCTCAAAGACCTCCTGCTTGAACTCCTTGGTTCCTTTGAAGATCTCCTCCATGGTCATAGAGGCAGCAAGAACCCGAGTTTCTCCCTCTATGATTCCTTGAACAAGCTCTTTAACATGGTTAGAGAGCTTATCATGAGGAGAGATAAGCTTAGCATATTTGAGGAGGGAGGAGTCTTCGTCGACTCGAGGGCCTATCGTGAACACAGCGGGGAGAATGAAGGGGAGCTTCTCAGCGCTCATGGCCTGAACCTCGAATGTGTAGTTTACAGGCGAGACATCGAAGACAGTGGAAGCTTGGCCCGGGAGAATCCACGCCTTCTTCGCCAGCTTTATGTCGGGTATTCCATAGCCAGTGATGACGAGGTACTCGGATGCATTCGCAACCCGGTACCACATGGTTGCAGAGAGAGGGAGAGAGGTGGTTAGAGAGATGATAGAGATTGCAATGTTAGAAGAGTGGAGAAAGTGGGGTGGAAAGAGAGGAGGAACAGAGATTGCAGGGATGTGGAGAAGGTGGTGAGAGGGAGATGAGAAGTAGATATACAAATGTTAGTATGCAAATATATATATAAATAAAGAGAGAGAGAGAGAGAGAGGTTGAGAAAGAGGCTTGAAACGCGTTCAGTAAGCATGTAGTAGGGGGAGGGAAGTTGCAGTAGAACACGAGGAGAAATAGGAATTGGATAAAAAATTGAGTCGGCGGAGTTATTTGCAGTGGGTTCAGAATTTATGAGGTAGCTCCCAAAATCAAAAGTATACAATTATTTCTAGCGTTTATAAAACGCAGGATAATTCTGGTTCTTCCATCAATTCTCTCGTTCTCTCTCTCATTGATGGGGCCTAACGCGACTTTAATCTTTGTCGAGTAACTCATACAAGGGTAGGGCTGGGCCCGGCAACTCGGCACAGCCCGGCCCAAGAGTATGGAGATGGCAAGTGCTAGGCTGGTTCGGTACTGCCCGGCCTTGCCTCGTAAATTTTTTTTTTGTTCCATTTGTGTTTAGCGTGGTCGTGGCCAGGCCTGGGTCAGCCCTATGGGAACACAGTCCTCGGGGAACAAGGGCCGAGCCAGGGGAAAGCCCGAACCAGTGCCACCATTTATACAAGAGTTTGCCTTGTGCAACATCGACGGTTCAAGATGAATTGCAACGTTTCATCTTGGAGTTTTATAACCCAGCGATTTGGATTGGGAATCATCGATTTAGATTAGATTCAGTGGGTGGGTGATCTGGGTCACCACTATCGAAATTCTTCTGATATTATTTTCTAATCATTTTAATTAAATTTTCACCGGTTTGACTAATCTAGATTACCGACTTAGATGATTCATTTGGTATAGTGGGTAGGAATATAAAAGATTATACATTGTTTGTATACTAAATGTATACTAATATTTTTGGCAGTAGTATTACCTAGCCTCATGGTGAGGTCTCCAACTCTATTCTTAATAAAGGGTAGGGGCACAAATCCCTACTGACTTACTACTTTTTAACGGGAGTATTGTCGAGTTGTATCATGAGGTCTTTGACTCCATTCTCCCCTAAGGTAAGGGCCCAAAAATCCCTATTGACTTACCACTTTTTTCTCATCAAAAGGCAGGACCCAAATTCCCACCGACTTACCACTTTTAATTACCGAAAAATGTATAATAATATGCAATATTTTCGTTTTTTTAAGGGTGTGGTCTATATAAGTTTGCGTCCTCAAACAATCAAAGTAAGGCGCGCCTCCAAATTTTATTATAGATGTAATTTTGGTGTCAAAAAATTCTTTTAGTTATAAAATTTTAAACTCCAAAAATGCTTCAAATCAAGTAGATCTATAAACATATGAAAATCTTGAAAGTTGTCGATCCACGTAATATGTTGCAAGATGCAATACTTTTGTGATTTGAAATCTTTTTTGTTTTCCTATTCATACATCTTGATGTCAAGACAATCAATTAGAAGTTTTCTAACCTTAAAACAACTTTTTCTCGTAGATTTTTTTAGGTGCACCTCAATTCTATATTTGAAGGTTACAATTTTATATAAACTTTTTTTTTCTAATATCAATATGTTGTAACTTATTTTTTTAGTATAAAAAATGGACCCCAAATAGTTAAGATAAAGCACTTTATAGTTGACCTCGATGAAGGCGACTTTGAGGTGTCTTTTCACTTATTTAAATAAGAATCACAAAATAAAAGTAAAAATATTGTATGCTCCCGCAGGTATATTCACCCTCAAGTAAAGCCCGATAATTTTTTATGTATTCAAGACCTTAAACTTTTGGATTATAACTTCCTCACCTAGGGACCAACTTCGTGAAAGAAAAAAAACTTATATATACAATCTTTTTCTTGTAAATAAAAAAAAAAAAATGTGCACCTGAAGAAATAACATCGTAATAGTGAATGAGGACTGTGTTATATTTGGACTGTTGGATCTAAGTGTTAGAAATTAAAATTTAATACTTTTTTTAAAAAAAAATTGGTATGGCTGATTCTAAGATGGATCCCAAAACTTTAGATTCAGTAAAAGAAAAGTGTTAGGTGCATCTAGGACAGAGGTGTTGGACCAGCCATAATAGCCATTTACACTGGACAATCCGGATCCCACATGAATCTTGATTTCCAAGTTAGACCGTCAAAATGTCAGAAAATGCAGTCAATCACATCCCTTGACACACCAAACCAAGATCCTCAAGAAAATACTCCTAATTAAGATTTGTATCCAAGAGTAAGTGTACAGTATGCTCTCGCACAAGTTGATTGTATCTTCTCAGCAGTTTCAATAATGCGTGTGCCATCCTCCAACATCTTAAATGTTGTAAGACGATGATTCCATCCCCATTCGAAAAACCATGGTCTTTATTATTATGTGCGAGTAGGTGCTCATATTTAATTCAAAGTCTTCCTATTTGAATTCTCTAAATCCAAATAATATTTTATTGGGAAGGTTACATAAACTTGCATGGAAGTTTTTGGAAGTTTTCCGCTATTTTTGTTATTACATTCAATACTTTCTTTGTTTTTTCCCTTTGAATTGACAGGTGTTGAATTTTAAATGTCATTTTTGATAAAAATGTCCCTCGCAATTGTTTTAACTGTCAAATTTATTTTCTTTTCTTTATTGAAACCCATAGTCCAACTAATGTGGCACTTGGAGTACTGGACCAATTTGGGTTTCAACAAGAGATGCAAATAAAGGCATTAAACTAAAAATTATTGTGTTTGATTGGGATGAGCTTTTTCATCCAAAAAGAGTTAAAAAGTTTATCCAAGTTAATGCAAAAGAAAACAATAACAAAGTAATTGATTGTAATAACAAAAAAAAGTGGAGTTTCCTCGTCTATGTACCAACTTCAATGTAGATGGTTTATGCAATTTTTATTGTTTTTTTGTATTTATAAGTTGATGGCATATTGTATATTAGCTCCCTCGAGGTAATAGAGCTACTTGGGTGGATTTTTATATGAAATTTTGCGACCTACCTAAAAATTACTAGATTACTATTTTAAAAATGAGAAAAATTGGTTGACTTCCTCAGCACTTAAATCTTGCCCTCCAACAATTGGATTATCCTAGTTCAATCTTGGACGTTATCTTTTACAATCACATAAAATGTGTGATACTATTTTTGTTTTATTCAATTTTTCTTAGGTTGAACACTAAGTTTAAGAAGTTACATCCACAAAATTTGGAATCCTAAAATTACTTGTAGCTTCAATTTTACCCAAGGGAGCAAATGGGGAGGAGTAGCAAATATTTTCACTTTGATTAAACTTGGAAACTATTGAAATCAAGGTTCTTTATGATTTTATACACCTTTTGAATCTTTTATCTAAAACGAAGTGTTAATTATTGTGGTTGTGGTTGTGTTTTTGCGGATGAGAAGTTGTTTGATGGTTGGGATAGGGTGATACTCAAATTTTTGTGGTGCGTCCTCAATTTTGTTTCAAATATACAAGAGCTGCTTCCCCCGAAAATATGGATGGCAATGTTTAGAAACTCAGCTCAGGCCCAGCCCGAGCCAAGTAAGCGAGTATGAGTGACTTGCCTGCGTAATTTACAGGGCTACAAAAGTGTAACAAAAAGTAAAACTAAAAATATTAAAAGTAAAATAAAAATAAATAAAAACCAAACCAAACTAAAAACAAAATAAAAAATCCAAGTAAGCTAGACAATTATATAAAACACCGATTTAGAGAAAATTGATTTCAATTAGAAACATTTAAGAAAAATCAAAAAATAGAAAAATAGAGCATATGACAAGATTAACTCGTACTTCATCATATAAAAAGATCAAAAATTACATATAAAATGTTCACTATCTAGTATAATTTATTATTATTATTATTTTAATCACCTCGAGTTTTACCTGAGTACCCAACTCGGCTAGGGCAAGTCCAAGTAACTCAACTAAGTCTTGGGCATAATTGTCTATTTTTAAAAAATTCAGCATCTCTAGATTCCAAAATTGTGTTAGAAATTAGATCAAAAAATCTATAAGCTTTACTAATTTGAGCATATCCCACAAAAACACATTTAAAAGTTCTAGGACCCAATTTATTTCTTTGAGGATCTAGAAGTCTAACACATGCAAGATAATCCCATACTTTGAAAAAATTCAAAAAAGGTTTTTTATCAAACCAAAGCTCATAAGTTGTCTTATCACTCTTTTTATATGGAAATATATTCAAAATAAAACATTCACTTAATAAAGCTTCACCCCACAAATTCAATGGCAATGAAGAAGAAATAAGCATTGCATTAACCATTTCAACTATAGTTAGATTTTTCCTGTCTGCTGGTCCATTTTGTTGAGGGGTATATGGAGCAGTTACTTGATGAATAATATCATTATTTTCATAAAATTTATTAAAGTCATTTGATAAATATTATCCTCCTCTATCACTTCTAATAATTTTGATTTTCTTAGTAAGTTGATGTTCAATTTCTGCTTTGAAAACTTTAAATTTTTCAAAAGCCTCATCTTTATGACTAAGCAAATAAACATAAGAAGATCTAGAAAAATCATCTATAAAGGTAATAAATTATCCTTTACCACCTCTAGTTATAATATTATTTACATCACATACATCACTATGTATAAGTCTTAGCAATTAACTATTTCTTTCAATTAAAGGAAATGATTTTCTTGTTATTTTAGCTTGTATGCATACTTCACATTTTTTTTTAGTTAATTCATTGCAATTAAAAATTAATCCTAATTTAATTAAAACTTTAATACAAGCATAATTAACATATCCGAATTTACCATGCCATACATTACATGGAGTAACAATATAAGCAGAAGATTTATTCATTTCATTAATAAGGTCAAATTGGCACATCCCATCATATGAGTAATCTTGCCAACAAATACACAATTTTTGGTCAAGATGAGTTTGCCAAACCCAATAACCATTTTAAAGCCCTTTTTTTTCAAGATACAACCTGAAACAAGGTTTCTTCTCATGTCTGGTATGTAGTACACATTTTCTAAGGTAAGTACCTTGTCTGAACTAAACTTTAGTTCCATCGGTCCCTTTTCAAGCATATTTGCTATAGCTTGGGTTCCAAGTTGACTTGAATTACAGTCACCCACTAGTTCAAAAGTCTTAAATATGTCTCGATTATTAGACACATGAATGGTAGCGCCGGCATCAACCCACCATCCATTGTTTTTATCGATCATATTTATTTATGTTATCATTGCTACAAATTTT